AAATAGCCCACACCCTATGAGAATAGCCCTTTTAAAATAGAATAGCCCTCTGAAACAAGAATAGCCACACCCAAGTAAGAATGGCCTTTTCTAGAAGACTCAATGACAGAAGCATCCCACGATACCCCGAAAGAACCCTGTAATGCCCTTCAAAGGCTGCCTCGTTGCAGTGGGATCATCAAGGGCTCGTGCTGCTCTGGGAAGGTTTCTCTATGGGACCATAAAGGACACTTCAGACCTTCTTAGGGGGCATTGTATAATAGGGAGGCCTTCTATAGGGTCTGGTTTCGAAGTGTTTCAAAGCATGTTGGCTCAAATTGTTTGGGCTCCACGCGGTTCATATCCAGCCAAGAGCTCAGCTCTTCTTCTTGCAGCATCTCTTTAAGAGAAGCTTCGATTTGACAAGATGTCGTTGCAAGCACCTTAGTGCAGTTGTCTTGGAATGAGTGGCCCTTGCCACACGTGCAGTCCTCCCGATAAAGTCCTCGCATTGTCCACACTCGTGCATCAAAGGGTTTGGGTAACACTGCGCACCATTCTGAAGCGCTATGTCCAGATCAACTGCGAAGTGATGCATTGAGTGTATGGTGGTCTTCAATGAAAAGCCAGGGAAATTTCTGAGCAGGCATCCTTTTGCAACGTAGTTGTAGCCACGAGTAACACGGAGGATGTGGTCTCGCAGTGTGGTCATACATTTTCGTGGAAGCCAAAGCCCATGACTGTAGAGAAGACGGAAAATCTTCAAGCTCGAGTCACATACTTGGGTCAAAGCCTGGACAAGAACCATATCGCATTGATGATCATCACACCGTTGCCTCTCCAACAACCGAAGCTCCATACGCAACCAAGCCAACAGTAGCATGGAGTCAGAGCCCTTGCAGTTCGTGTAGCTGAAAGAATCAACCCGGGACAAGTGAAAGTTGTCTTTTGTAAACTGCCTCAGGTTGGGCGTTTCATGGTTAGCTGCTGCCCAAAGCGTGAAGCGGCCGTGCGCCCGCTTGAGACGGGCCC